AGTTGAATTCTAAACTGGGAATTCCCAGTGAGCCACATACAGAGCTGATCCCATCGATCTTCGGAGTAGAGATGTGGGCCATATTGGTTGTATGGGCGATCTGCCATTTTGGGAGTGAAAGGATATCCATGGCAGTAGTAGTCACTGAGGACAACACCAGGGACTTTGGTCAGCGTATAGCGGGGAGACAGCAGATTCCACCCTGTGCGGGACATGGCAACCCGTAGCCCGGAGGTCAGCCACTGAGCTACTATTGCACTTTCTGCTTGGATGTTCCCTTGCTCGAAATTGCCAAGCGCCGTTGCTAGTCTAGTATAACCTATGCCAAACCGTCCATATCCCTTGGCAAAGGTATAGTTGGGTTCAGCTGCTATGTCCTCATCCTCTGTGGCTTCCTCAGTGCCATCTTCTGGTGGTTCAGCAAGCCCCACTGGCGCCGGGAGAGCAAGTCTAGGCGACCGTTCAGCTGACCCGGTAGCGTCAGAGGCAGAGTCGTCTTCTGCAGGCAAGTCGGCAGTGGGGTGTCTGGCAGTTGTCAGGTCTTTCCACAAGGGGACTTCGATGCGCAGCCTCAGCTGCAGAAGGGAAGGGAACGAGAAAGCTTGTCCCAAAGACGGGTCAAGGGCACCACTAGAGTAAGCTCTTTCTGCCCAGGAAGTATCCGGCATTCGGGGGTATCGGTCGTAAGCAATGTCTTTAGTGTGCACTCCCACCACGAGCAGGGGGTTATCTTCAGCACCCTCTTCTTTGGGTCGGTATCCGTAGCCCCCTTCACTTCCGCGGGCGTGAAGCCCTGCCGCTCCATGGCTACAACCAGGTCAGGCAGGATCTGTACTGGTAGATAGACAAAGAGGGCAGCGTCTGCTCTCCATGCTCCATTCCCCTAACAAAGGACATGATGACAGTGCGCATAAAGGTGAGGGCATCGACATCTTTTTCCTTTGTTGTCTGTGGTTTCCCTTCCACAGCTTGGGCTGTTCCTGTGCCCTGGTGTCTGTGTTGATTATCAAAGGAACAGCACCTTGCGATGAAAGCAAGGAGCCCATACTGCCAGAAGCGGGGGCTTGCATAAAGGGCGAGTTGTTTGTGAGTGATGAAGGGGCATGCTGGATGCCCACTCTTCACAAATGCGAAGAGGTTGGACAGGGGAGCAGCAAAGGCTTCACTTATACGGAGGAGATCTCCTATATAGGCTTGGTTGATTTCATCTGGAATGTCTACAAAGGAGGAGCCGTGGAGTGCTTGTTCTGTCACCCTCCTCCAGAGGAATGTACGGACGAGGCGATTAATTTGCTTGTTGGAAATAGCAAGCCTCGCCATCGGCCATTCTCTAGGCAGGTCACTATAGATCTGTAATGGGGGGAGCGGCGCACTTTGCCCGTCAGCTTCTCTGGCCGTTCGAGCCGCATTTTGATAGTCGTATAGGGCCTGCATGGCTCTCTGCTCGGATTCCAGCTGGAGATCAGTGGCGACGCTCTGCATGCTCTTGATCACTGGCAATGTCAATTTCCGTCATGGCGTGTGGGCGCTCTTGCGTCGATCCAGGGTGGTCAGGTGGTGTCTCAGGGTTCCTGCAAACGGGAGCCTCCTGCCTTTGAGCATTCCGACTGGCTAGGTCTGCCAGTGTGGCCGGTGGTTGCTCATGTTCAGGAATGCTGCCGAGTGGTTGCCTGGATGTTGGAGCAAGTGATTTCCGTAACTTCTTGGACTGAGCTCGCCCGGCACTAGACTTAGATCCCGGTCTTCGTTTGATTGGGGACTCAGAGAAGTGCGATGTGGGGCTGCTACTTGGGGGGTCCACGTCCTGTGGGGGTAGCTCGCTCCTAGCGTCATCTTCTGCCTCCAGCATTTCATCTTGTGCGGGGCATGCGTCAGGAAGGGCCGGACGATTGCTAAGGCAATCATCCTCTTCTGCAGAGGAGGTGTTAGCACTATCATCATCTTCCATGTGTATCATCTTCCTCCGGTTGCTCTGTGCTCGGGATAGTGGGCGACTCGGAGGAGGAGCTGTGGACTGAGACTGCTTCATTTGCGTCTTCATCAGCCATCGCAGCATCTGTCGCCGCAAGCGAGGACAACGAGTGTCCCTCTTGCACTTCATGTTCCTCTTTTTCGGGGTCACGATCAGAGACAGAGAGGACATCAGGTGTCAAACTTGGCTGAGGCCAGTAACAGCCATGCGCTAAAAGGCCTGGTTGCGGTGGCAGGACAAGTTCGGATCCTGGGGCATCCAGGACTGGCTGCACTCTCCATGCGTCGTAGAAGTACACCCGGCGCAGAGCTTCGAAAGTATAATCCTGTGCACTGCGTTGTTCACGCGTGCTCGGCGTTGGCTGATAGCGCAGGGAGCTTCCTACGCTGCATCGGTGCCCTGAGCCAGAGCTATTGTGGAGAAGTCGCCAGCGTCCTGGCTGCTGCCCATCTGGTATGACCAGCCACTCTGGCTCAAGCGAATCATCGACTGCATAACCATAGACAAGGTCATGCAAGACCGTACCACCAGGCAGGTGGGGCCCTTCTCTTAGGCTAGCAATTTCCGCCTTGGTCAAGTGCGTGAGTGCAGCTAAGACGAGACGTAAGCGCCTCACCTTGCCGTGATGGTGTTCTGCGAGACAGACCGGTAGAGGGCCGAGCCACATTGGGTGGGGCAGGAGCGCCTGCTGGAAGAATATCGTGGCTTGCGCAACCTGCGTGGCTGTAAGGTCCAGTGAGCCTAAAATATCGGGCTCTTTGTTGCTGTCATAGGTATATATCGTTTGGACACCATGCAGGAGGGCTGCTAGGACTTGTAGGGCCCCAGGCATCCCTTGCATGTTCAACGGACATGCTAGGATGGTGAGGTCAGTGGCTCGGCTGTATGCCACATTTGCTCGTGTGAAGCACTCCTGGTCATAATCTAGGTTGTGCCCTTCGCCACTGAGAAAGGTTGACACCCCGTGAATAACGATGCAATGTTTGGCCGTGGCGCCTGCAACTTTGATTGCGGTTTCTGCATTAGCCTTTTTGCCGGCAATGGAGAAATAGTTGCGTAGATTCGTGGCCCCTTCCCGGGTGGTTGTAAGGGCCAAGATGTCATCGGTGTCAGCTCCTGCTTTGGTAAGTTGGTCTTCGAGATGTTGGTACACTCGTACTGTAGGGTCATTCTTTGGGTTTTGCCTCGCCTGCACATTGGGCGAAGCATGGCACCAGTGGACAAATCGTAGGCCTGAGGCAATCCGGTGATCCTCTCGAATGGAGGTGGTACCTATTTGCCAAGTGTCTCCCATTCGGCTGCACAACATGGGATACTGAATTCCTATTAAAGGCTCGTACACTTCTTGGGCAACCCTTGCGCTCGTTGGCAACATTAAGCTCCAGCAGTGCGGGCTTGCGACTCCCGATCTCTCGGCCGCATTTTGCGCCTGTCGGAAGTCGAGCGGGCTGTCCGGGCTGGTAGCTGCATATCCTAGACCCACCAGCAGTCCTTCCGGGAGATCCAGATCCACTCTGGAGAGGTCTTTGTAGGTGGACTGTAACTGACAGGCGAACGAAGACGTGGCTTTGACCTTCTCCGAGCGAAACCAGCTACTCCCCAATGGCCTGTGGCCCACTACTTTAGCCGTTTCTTCTAGATCACTAAGGCCAAAGCCTCGACCGTGCCGGAGGAGCATGTGAAAGACCCCTGCTATTTCATGTGGCATGTACCAGGTAGTGGGGGCTCGCAGCCCAATGGGAGCTTTGAGCAGGAGCGTGCGATGGGCTCTGTCCATCGGCTACTCCACCCGGGCTCTGTTTGGGATCACCAAGCAGCAGTCGAAAGAAGGGTTGTCGGGGGACTGTCGGCGCAAAGGCAGATTTGAGGTCCATATCCTGCTGTGCCTCTTCGCTAATGAGCAGGTCCACATTTTCCATATGGGTGTTGAGCGTGGAGTGAGTCTGTCCTTTTTGGTCCCAGACGAGCCCAGTAGTGACAATAACTACGTGGCAGCCAGGGATGTATGGTGCCGCATCGCTTGCACGCAAGTCATAGTCGGTGCACGCTGTGTTAGTTTCTGCCTCTTCTCTGCTAACTGGCCGAATGAAATATCTCTGGTGGTCTGGCTCTAGGTCAAAAGCTGTGAGCAACTTGGTGATTGCCCGACCCGCTGGATTCTCTTTGTGCACGACTGCAATCTTAAGGTGAGTGGTAAGAGCCAGCCAGGCGAGGAGAAAGGTCAGGGATCGAGTTTTGCCCGCACCAAAGACACCTGCTACTGCCAGGGTAGATCTGCCAGATCGGAGAGCCAGCGCGAGGCTGGAGGCCATCGAAACGATGTGCCCATTATCTTGCCGGGCGGCGGTGCCTAGGGCAACAGCAAAGCTGGCCGCTTGGGGACAGTGCTGCATTGTATTGCCGGAGGTCAGCAGCTGGAAGAGGGCATAAGAAATTTTCCTCTGAACCGGGGCTTAGGATTGAATCAGGGTCTAGACCTGTTGGCTTGAATGCTGGTCTAAGCTGTTGGCTTTATAACAGCTGCTTGTGACTGCATATTGAGTCAGATCTTAGCGGCCTGTTGGCTTAAAGCTCTTGGAGTAACTCCTGGCGAGCCGCTTATCGGCTGCTCTCCATATCGGTTCAGGCCATGTCCCATGACTTGTGGTTGTGGGCTGGAGGGTTTTTTTAACATCTTTTTCCATCTCTAACATATACCTGATTTAAATCTAACCTACACTTCAACACTTCGTTTTTGTTTAGAATTTTGTTTTCTAACTTCATGTGTATTACCGTATAATTATACTAAATTATTGCGGGTGTGAATACACCTATCATTTGTTGCAATGTGGCCGGTTGCTGGCAACCTGGCAGCGTCGAGGAGATGGACTTGAAGTCAGTTGCACTGCATTTCACCATGTCCACAATCACTTCTCAACCACTTTGTTGTCAGTGAAGTTTCCAGACAGAAGCGCATCATGTAGGTCATGTACCTGCATGGCGGTGTGATGTGGCGCGTGGGGTGTCAATCAGTGGGCTCAATTTGTTTCCTGTGCGGGTTGTGCCCATTGGCCCTGTCTTGTTTCGCCGCGATGCCTCTGAACGTGGACGTGGGTTTGCCAGAGCCTCACAATGTCATGCAAAAACCTACCCACACATGAACCATATAGTAATTTCGCATAATGGATTTCAATATTGTGTTCAAGATGTTGAACCTGATGCGGATGTTTTGTTTCAATGCTTGAAAAAAAGGTCGGACTCTGACGCGGAATCTGAAACAGTTGCTCCACATGTGCCTTCTCCTGGCCGCAAGGCTTGGGGCCAAAGTTGTCGTTTGTGAGGAACGTTTGTGGTGTCTGGTTTCCATCAATGTTCCAACAAAAGTATCTTGCAGGTCCCAGTGGTGAAGTTTGCCATGAAGCAGAAGTACTGTTGGTTTCGAAAAGGGGCAAAGGCTGACATGATGATCAGTTGTTGAATTCATGTGTGTCAAGTGATTTATTTGGTTTTCAGCCAACTGCACAATGTTTCAGAGTGTCAGGTGAAGCCCTTTAAGTTTCCGAAGCACGGCGTCACCGTGGGTGGCAAACCTTTGCGCGTGCAACCTGCATTGGTGTCACTAAAACGCGTGGCGCCACTTTCGATGGAGGTAGTGCGCACCTCAACCCACGATGTCAGTTTTTTGTTGGCCTGTAACTTCAAGTACTTGTCAGTGAATTTGTGGATTTGTTCAACTCGACAGTGGTCATGTCCAGGTATCGCGGCAGGACCCTGGAAAGAAGGACAACGGTGCCAAGAAGTTCTGTGGGAAGAGGATGTTCAAGTCCTTTGGAACCATACGCTGTGTCCTCAGCATGTTGTCAGCTGTCAGCAGCAAACGTTACATGTGAGAAGCAGTGGGTGGCTTTGAACTGCTGCAAGGTTGTTTCTCAGCTTCGACCACTGTGACCCTCTCTGGTGCATCTTGCCGATCGATCACAGTCTGGGTCTAAGTGGTTCATGCATCCATCGTTCAGTTGTCAACCCATAAGTTTTCAGGACCTGGCCAATCAAGTGTGGCACTTGAAGAGTTACTGCGACTCATTGAAAGCTGTCAACAAGAGCCGGGCGAAGATGAAGTTCTTGAGTGTTCCTGCTGCGGAGTACTTTTCAGGCCTACATGTTTCTTTTCTTTTTGAACTGACATCATGACAGTGTGTGTTTGGAGGGCTTGCCCTCGTTCTGAAAGGCCTCCCGCTGGGCTGGACTTCGCCACATCCCGGCGTGGATGCTTCCAAGTTGAATGCTTTCTTCCCAACCGTAGAGGCCTCCAGCATGTTGCCATCACCATTCAATTCTTATCATTTTCCATCCGCCGTCCTTCGTGCCAGGGAATCCAGAAGCTGAACGCCATCAGCCTATTTTCAGGCGTTGGTGGCCTTGAAGCAGGGACGCGTCAGTCAGGAACTCAACGGTCTTTGTTTCAACTTCAAGCTTTACTTTTGTGAAGTTCTTTCAAGTGCACTTTCAACTTGGCATTCGTTGTCAGCTAAATAGCCGGATAGCTTTGCAGCCGCCAAACTGGTCACCGCTGAGTTTGTTGGCATGCAGCAACAGGCGAACTCACAGTGAAGTGGGGTTAGACTCGGGCACCTTTTAAAGGATTGATTGCCCCAGCCATGGATTTGCAATGGCAAACTGTGCGGACAGTTGGAATCAATCAGATTAAGCCACTGGGGCTTTGATTTGAAGTGATTTGATTCTTTCACCTTGGTTATTTTAGTTTGAATTTGGTTCTAACATTCAACAGGTGTGTGTGCGTGTGGGGGTGATGCTGCTTCAGGATCCCAGCTGGTATGACAGTGTGGTGCCGTTGGCGAGGGGGCACGTTCCTTGACTGTTCTTTGGTTTTGAATAATAGTACGCAGGTAGATTGACGCAGAAGCCGTCGTTGAGGTGTCGTAGTTGAAACAATGTGTTGCTTCTCATTCAGTGAGCTAGCTCACTGATAGTCTGTGACAGGTGGACCTGGCACTCAACGAAGAGGTCTTGGATCGAGTATGAGGATAGATCTGTTCAGAGCGAGGTCTTGCGCCCAAATGACTGACCCTGGTTATCAAGTGTTGAACTTAACTCATTTGTTGCTGTCATGTTGCTTCGACGGTTTGTTTTGCGTCTTCATTTCTACAACGCCCCTTGTCGGATTGACTGCAGCTAGCTTTCAAGCTGGATGATTTTTCGACTGAACCGTGTTTATCGTAATAATATCCTGTCGATGCACTGAATATTGCATTGCGCTTTGATGTTTGAGTGTTTTTCGATTGATTTGGTCTTTGAGTGTTTCCGATGGTTTTTGTATAAGATCATCGGTGTCTATATGTTCAGTTTGTTTGGATACTGCATTCTGTTTTGACGCTTTTTGATTTGCAGCTGGCACATCCTGGCGAACAACAGCTAGCAGCGACCACCACTAAGCCACTAAGAACACCAAAGGCAGCTACGGACAGAACAGTGGCAAACTTGAGATCGCGACACCCAACCAAACCAAGCACGTGGCATGACTATTAACTCTGAAGCAAGACTACAATACTAAAACCGCAACAAAGCAGTGTTACTTTTAAACTACAATACTGAGCAGCAGAATTCCAGGAACCAAAGGCAGAAAGAAGCCCGGCAGTGAAAAGGACACAGCAGGATAGAAGCAAGCAGCAAACATGATGTATCGTGGTTTTCAGCTTTTGAGATTAATTCGCCTCGGTTTGAGGTTGAGACTTCCAGATGCGAAAAGGCACAGGTCGAACTATGCAACGAAGACCAGGGATCGGCAAAGCGCCGAAAGCAGTGAGTTTCAAAAAGTCGATTGGCGCCATGCCCGTCGCCCATAGAGCATTGTGCGCACTGACCGCCCACAAGTCTGATGAAGCCTGTACTTGCCCAAAAAGAGTTCAAGCTTGCAATTCATTGAGGTGGTTCCGCACTGTCGAGATGGTACGGGCCTTGTCCTTCACTGAACCGTTTCCCAACCGACTATTATTACGCAGGCAGTAACAGTTACAGCTAGCAGGTGTTTTGTGTCTAACTATGTAAGTTCACCGAATGTTTGACTCTTTTAAACTGCTTTCAGGTGGAGGCTGACAGCTTCTGCCGTTCAGTCCTGCGGGCCAGGATGGCCGACAAAAGTTTGGATGAATGCCCTATCAAGGATGACGTTGTAGGCTATGCTCCAGAAGGGGTGGCTGCCAGGGCAGAGGCCATCCTGGCAGGCTTCCCGTGCCAAGTTTTTGCCTTGGAGCCGGTTTCAAGCTTCACCAATTTGCTATATGTGTTTTTGAGTCAATGTTGTTCAGCGTGGAATTTGTTCAATGTTTTGTGCTTGGCTGAGGGTGTCTCCTGTGCTGGATCACAAAAGGGGATGGGCGATGTAAGAACAAGATTGCTACGGGAAGTGTTCCGAGTGTGGGACTTGCTGCCTAAGGGGTTGGAAACTCAGATCCAAAGTTTGCAGTCAGGGGCTTGATGGGTGCCACATGTTAAACATACTTTGCCAATTGCGTTTTGAATCTTTGCTGAGTCGTGTGCTTTTGTTGGAGAACGTCTTGGCTTTGTTCTCCAGCAAGCCAGAGTGCCGGCAGCTTTTGGAGTGGCTCCTGAAGGCTGAAACGATTGCCGTCATTGACATCAAGAAACATGATTTTGTGGTACTTTATTTCCAGACATTATTGAAGCGCGTAAAGGACCATCTGTGTAGTGTTATCTCAGTGGTTGGCTGAGTATTGTCTTGAAGAACCATTTGTTCATTGTTCGTGTATGTACTTGGGTGGGAGGTTTTTGGGTGGCAATTTGTTGAAAACATTGTGCTCAAGCCGTGCTTTGTGCAGGCCACTGAAAAACGTGGTTTGCGTCTGCACTGGTGCGCCTTGCATCTGCGGAATTGTGGGTTGCCTGCCTTGGACTCAGTAGCTTCCTGTCCTCTGAGGGTGTCTCGAGTTTTTTTCAGAAACATCAGGCTGGTCGAGGACGTGTCTTCCTGGCCGCCACGCGATCGGGAGATTCTTTCTTGAAAGTGAAGGCTTGCCCATGCTCTTTGTTGAGCTTCAAGTTGATTGTCACGACATTGGTGAACCTGTTTGATGTTAGGACGTTTTCCAACTTTTAGCTTTCAATAATTTGACAACTCCCAGTTCCTGGTCTTGGTCAGGGGGCTGCCCAGCACATCAACCACTTCGTTGACCAGCGATGGAACACCATGAACACAGTGGCAGAACCGAACTGGCTTTGTGAGTCCCGCAGTGAAACCGACAAGTCCCGAATCCATGCCATGGGAAACCTAGTGGTGCCTGCGCAGGCCTTCACTGCTATGTGTGTTTTGGCCGAGCTGAGCAAGGCATCAGACTAATGTGATTGTTTATTATTATGGTGGAGCCCTCGTGCAGAAGCTGTTGGAAGTTTCAAGGCGTTGCTCAGTGCCTAAATTATTTGCAGTCTCCGATGACGTTTGATCTGTAGCCTCCAATGCATTTAATTTGCAAGCAATTCAGTTGTTTTTCTCTGCCCCTGAATTGTTTCTGTAGTGTTCAGTTTTTAGCAGCAACGGTGATGTCAAACACTGTTTTAATTTTGCACTGGTGGAAGGGGCCTGGGGATGAGCCTCTCTAGCAACACGGAAGCCATCTTGTTGCGAGGCTGAGTGCAGGTATTGTGATCGCGGCAACAGCTAACAGAAAGCTTGACAAGCTGGGTAGTAGTCAGGTTGAGTTACTATATGATTAGGGCTGGGCCAGATCCGGTAGTTGCTTGGCACAGGGAAGCACCAGTGATGACTCCTCGTCCACAGTTCGGGCCAGTGTGGATCAAATTCATCATCCACAGTGAATATTGTTCTGATTCACAGTGACACAGTTGAACTCACTGTGGAAAGCCAGCGCACTGTGAAAGTTTGCTTTTCGCACTTCCGCTGCCTTTATGCCATGCCTGTTTCTAGCGTTGTTGACTTGTCCGATGGCGAGTCACTGCCAGACTTGCCTGAGCCGCCCAGGAAGCGGCCGCGGCGGCAGCGGAGTCGGCCCACAGAGTCTCCTAAGGAGAATAAGCTGAGTAGCGAAACCAGTTTGAAACTTCTTGTTGCACAGCCCTGCCCAAATTGCACGTCAGAGTGTGTGACTGCGTTCCAAGCGCCATTCCTCTTCCACCAACTGACTCTGTTCCGCTCAAATTGGGTGAGCACACACAAGTTGGACCAAGATACCATAGCTGCTCCTCTAAATGGCAGTGATGTTCAGGTATCATGTGGACTAACTTGATGGCAATGTCTCTGATTTGAAGGCATCCACCAGGCCCATGCAGCCAACCGGAGCGATTGACTCAGGTTTTCGATGAGATCAAACAGGTGGTGATGGAGAGGGAGTCCCGCAAACAACAGGGTGAAAGAGATCCTGATGCGATCCGCCAGCGAGCTGATTGGAAATTCCTTGGGCGCCCCGTTTGTCGCAAAGGGTGGCAGAGGCTGCATGGCGTGGGTTCCTTGGTTTCATTTTGGCCAAAACACTTTATGGGGCAAGACTGGACATCAACATAATGGTGGTCCAGTAGTGGGAATACTAAAGCATTGCATATATAGTCTATTAATCATCACAGCGCTGTGAGTCTCGCTAACTTGTGCGCACTCTATGAGGGGCTTTCCTGCCTACCTTCTTCCGCCACTTCATGTGTTGATCAGTATTTTTTTGGAAGCCTTGCTCCACAAATGCAAGGGTCAAGCCGCTTTCAGCGAATGTTGAAGGCAGCCGAGTCTGGCGCAATCATTCCTCCAGCTGACATTCGTTATTTGAAGACTGGTGTGAGTCGCCAGCCGAGCGCAAACGATGTAACTGGTCGGATACTAACTTTCCTTCAGACAGTGTACGAGTCTGTTGGGGAGACTCTCCCTGATATGAGATCGGAGGCTGACTGTGAACTGAGCTTGGTGCCTGGCTTTGATGCTGATGTGGACCCTGATCCATATTCGGAGGCATTGCAGCAAAAGACCATCAAGCCTTCTCGAAAGAAGCCGCGCACTTTCAAGTCTTTGAATTTCGATCCGGCCATGACTGTCGAGCAAGAAGACCGCTGGCTCCCCCCAGGCGGGCATATGCGAGATTACTGGGAGCAAATGTGCTTGCATGATTCGCCCGTGAGTTTTGCCCAGTTCTGGAGGGTGCATTTGGTGCAGAATTAAGAACCTGTTTGTTTCCGATTCCCCTTTCTTGCTTTAGCAGTATATATAGCTTTAATTTACTTTGTAGTTGATCCAGCCGAGACGTGGAATTGTCACTTCCGGTGCCTCAAGTTCCGGTCCCTTTGCCAACATGCAGTTTGTTCGGAGTGCCTCCGCCACAAGCTCCTTCTAAAGGAGCTAGGCCCACATCTCAGCGCGAGATCGGCCCAGCAAGGGCTCTATGCCCTTCACCTGAAGGCCCAATACTCTGACCGAAAGGTCTATTGGATGCGAAGAGGCCAAGCCCGAGCCAAGAGCTGCATATGTGCAATCCTGGACTCGATGGATCAGAGCAAGTTCTACTACCCACAATCGAAAAACAAAGAGTTCTTGACAAAGGACTTGGGGCGCTTTATGCGCCCCAAAGCGCACATCACGTGCATCATATTTCATGGTTTTTTTGTGCTCTATACCATCTCACCCAGTGACCTCAGGAAGGACGCCAGTACCATGGCAGAGATCGTGATGCACGGACTGCATTTACTCAAGACTGAATTTCAAGTCAACCTAGCTTCAATGCACTTTTGGCTGCAGTGCGACAACACGGTTCGTGAATCAAAGAACAACGTGATGACACGGCTGTTGGGAGGGCTCGTCAGCCACAGCGTTTCGACTTGCAGTCAGGATGTTGATGTTTGGACGCTTTCTTGCGACCCCGCCTGTGTGTAGGCCATTTGGCCCAGCTTGTGCGCGGTCAATTTTCCGGTTCGTTTGGCGCCAGAAAAAGGCCCCCACAAGTCCCAAAACCCTATGCTAGAAGAGTGACCGGGAGAAGACCTGTGGGGGTCTTTTCTTGTGTACCTTGGTCCGGGTGTAGATTTTATCTTGTCACCCACACTTGTGCCCATGTCAGGTATGCTGGAGAGCTGTGGCCTGACCTCATTGAGGTCAGGCCACAGTCATGAAGACATCGACCAGCAGTTTGGCTACTTGTCGAAGTATTTGATGCGACACGGTCGCAGCGCAGAAGTGCCCGCAGACTTCCAGCGTCTCATTCAAGACTTTCTGAATGAGAGCCATCGCCCACATGAGGAGAAAGGATATTCCATTCTTTTGGAACAGACCCGTAGTTGGACACTTGATTCAAAGACAAATATATAGTCTATTTCAATGTGTTCACGATTTTCTTTTCCTATGTGTTTCAGTTTGTGAAGTTGGGTCAAATTTGACGGTTGTAACTTCTTTCAATCCGATGGTTGTTCCTGCAAGGAAAGGATTTTTGGAAGCAGGGATGCCGGTTTTCATTAAGGGCATGGCTGGCCCTGGTGCACCGCATGAATTTCGATTCGACAGGCGAGACATGTTCAGCAGCCCGTCTGAGATGATTGTCAGCATGTTGTGTTTTTTGATGTATTGTACTCGGTTTCAGGTACATGTTGCGTTGTTCGAAGTTTGTTGTGTTGCAAGTCATGTGCTTTTCCTGAGTGGTTGAAATTGTTGCCGCGTTGCTGAGTCCCAGGTGAGCGTGCGCTTGAGAACATGGACTCCCACTACTGGCGGCATATTGATTCACAGCATCCAAAGGATGTTATCCTCCGGAGCCTTGGTAATTTCCAGTCCCGAGTCAGTAGCAGAATGTAACCAACACCATCTATCATCTCGTTTCTCCAGGTCACACAGAAGCCCAAAATGGCAAGTATTCGCTGGGTGTGTGGATTGAAACCCAAAACGTCACCGGTCCCAGGGAGTCGAGGCTGAATCAAAATTTGATTGACACAGCTGTTGACACGGCTCAGTTCTTTTTACAGTGGGTTAGTTTTACTCAAAGTGTTTTTCATGCTTGCACTTTGAGTGGCGAGCCAGATGTGCCTAGGACCCGGCAGTGGATGGCTGATGAACGGTACAACAGCATGTTTCTCTACATGCCGCGCTCAGTTGCCATTGCACACTTGCCTGGCTTGATACCGTCAGGCAGCTAAACACTGTTAAACCGTTTTCAATTCTGGCATGTGATGTTTGTGAGTTGGCGAAGTGCGTGTGTGAGGTTATTGTGTTCGTGATGTTTGACAGTTTTGTCAGCTTGAGTCACTCATGATTCAAGGTCATTTTCCTAACCTGACTGATCACATGTCACATGCGCTTCCTAACGTTGGCGAGGCATCGCAGACAAGAATCCTTTGACAGCAGAGTATCGAGACCATGTCCGGTCTTTTCTTCCGAGACTGAAGGAGTACAAGTTTTACAAGGCAGTCGAATACTTCAAGAATTGGATCAATGATGAGCTGGAGCCAGCCCCATTGCTGGACTTGAGCGGGTTACTTGACTGAGGTGTTGGCAGGGCTTGAAAATTTGGATGGGGTTTCCCTCATCGAGTAAAGGTCAAGGTTGAATGAAGGGGGCGAACGTTTTGCATCGGTTTGGGAGTTGATTACTTGCAAGATTGTCAGTGGTTGATATTCGAACACTGAGGTGCCATTTCTCCGACCTGCCGCCTCCCAATCCAGATCTTCTTTGCCAGGGATTTGCCCCAGTGCCCAATCTTGTGCAGTGACTTTGCCTGTACGCTGAGTTTGTTGCCGCTGTGATTTGGTTCTTGAAATTAGTCGTCCATGCGCTGTTCTTTACAGGGCTGTGGGGCACACGGACAGTCTAATTTATTACCAAAGGTTTATCAACAATACAGATACAGTAACAGCTTCAGTTTTGATTTTATGAGTGGTTGGATTGCCTGATTACGGATACGCAATTCCACATATGGCAATGTGACCACATATCACTCGTGTTCATTACAAACACAGAAGTGCCAGTTGTGGCGCCAAGTCATTGACATGTTGTCCCACAAACTTCAAACACCGACGTCATATCATTATGTCAAATGTTTATCCAGAAGCATTCCACGCACATCTATTTCTTTGTACATCCATTTCACATGCTCTTCAAGTCTTGCGCGAGGATTACCCGGCCAGACAGAAAGGACGCCAAGAAGTATTTGGACAAGCACTTGGAGACTTTGACCATTCAGTCTGCTGCTGCGGCCTGGGCCCGCGGCGTTCCATGGAACGAGGCCTGGCGAATCTCAAGCAGGGCAACTGCGAAATCGCAGGCCATGGCCCATCCGAAGCCCAAGGCAAAGCCTAAAGCGAAGCCGAAAGCAAGGGGTTGAAGGTCCAGGTATAGAACCCGAGTTTTAGGCTTTGTGTTGGTTTCAACAACGTTTAATTGTTGATAT